GGTGTAGTGGTTTCTTGAATGAACTTTCATTTTTAATTTTATGCAACCTCCATTCTTATTTTTATTCCACTTCCATTTCTATTCAGTTTCCGTTTCTATTCAATTTCTTTTATTTTATTTTATTTCCATATAGATCGTTAAGGTATAGTGGTTTCTTGTGGATTGTCTTGTGGCTGTTGCTCCTGGGTTTTTGATCACAGTTGGGGGGGTCCAATTGTGGTTTTTTCCACGTTGTGTCTTTGTGTCTCTTTGTCTTGATTGTTTGATTGGGATTGTTATATTCTGCTTTAAATTGATACATAATCACAAATCAACATCTAGGGGATTTCTAGATTCTTCACAGAGTATTTGCGACGACACCATTTGTCGTCTCAAAAAAGCAGAGTATTTGCAGCGGCCCCATTTGCCGTCTTAAAAAAACAAAGCATTTGAGACGGCACAATTTGCCGCCTCAAAAAAGGAGAGTATTTGCGACGATATTTTCTGCTGTCGCAAATACTCTCATTTTTTTGAGACGGTATTTTCTACCGTCGCAAATACTCTGCTTTTTTGAGACGCCATTTTCTGCCGTCGCAAAAAGTGCCTTTCATGTTTTTTGTTTTTTTTTAGTGAATATTTTTAAAATTTAAAATATTTTTTTTAGATGCACCTTACTTAGACGTATCTAAAAAATAAAAAAATTTGAAAAAATATTTTTAAAAAATAATAAATACATTAAAATACAAAATAAAAATTCTATCACTCTCTCTCTATCTGCTTGTCTATTTGTCTATTTCTCCCTCACTATGTTCGCCTTGCTCACTCTCTGCCTCCCATCTTTTCTATTTATCGAGCTCCTTCTCGATTTATCAATCCACTATAAGAAAATACACTTTTAGCAACCACTTTGTCTCTCTCTCGCTCATCACTCTGTCTCTGTCTCTCTCTCTCTCTTCTTTATCTGTCTCTCACAAAATTAAAATATTTAAATATTTAAAAAAATGATTTGAATTAATTTTTGAAAAGAGTTTTGAATTATGTGTTTGGTTATGAGTTTTGAAAAATACTGATTATATTTTGAATTGAGTTTTGAAAAATGGATGTAGAATTATGATTTAAAAACTCAAAATAAACACCATACTTAAATCAATTGGTGGAACTATGACCACCACCACTACTGCCACTACTACTACCATTACCTCTTATCCACCATCACCACCACTCCACTACCACCACTACTACTACTGCCACTACTACTACCATTACCTCTCTTCTACCACCACCGCTCCATCTCCTCTACTACTACTACTACAACTTCATCACTAATCTCCTTCGCCATCACCACTACCACCACCACCACCACCACTTATCCACCACATTCACCACTACTGCCACTCATTCTCCTCTGCCACTCTCATTTTTGTAACCAAAAAAAAAAAAAAAGGGCCGCAGAAAAATATTTTTCATTGACAAAAAAAATTAACTTTATTTTAATGGAAAATATTTTTCATTAAAATATTACCCTTACTTCTACAAAAAAAAAAAAAATCATTAAAATAAATATGAAACAAATAAATTTTCAACTTTAGTAACTAAAAAAAATAAAAAAATATATATTTTTTTTTCATTACCCCTACTCACCACTCTTTGTCTTTCTCTTTCTCTCTCTCTCTCTCTCTCTCTGTCCCACACTGTGCTTGCGTTGCTCACTCTCTCCATCCCCTCTTATTGATTTACCGATCTCCCTCTTGATTATCAATCTTTTCTCTCTCTCTCTCTCTCTCTCAATCGTTCATCTCTCATTTCTCTTAATCACTTGTCGAAAGAGAAAAAAGTCAAAAAATGAAATGGGCCTCTCTCTCTCTCTCTCTCACACACACACACACACTCATCACTCTTCTCCCTGGCTCTCTCATCTCTCTCTGTTCTTTATCGCTCTTGCTCATCTTTCTTCTCTCACTCGCTTTCTTTCTCTTTCTATGTCTCTCTCTATATCTCTTGTTCATCTCTTTTTGCTGTTTCTCTCTCTCTCTTTGTCTATCTCTCGCTCATCTTTTTTCTTTTTTTTTTTTGCTCTGTGTGTGTGTGTGTCTCTCTCTCTGTCTCTCACTCATCATTATTCTCTCTAGCTCTCTCATCTCTCTTACTCATCTTTCTTCTCTCTACTTCTCTCTCTATATCTCTTGTTCATCTCTTTTTGCTGTCTTTCTCTCTCTCTCGCTCATCTTGTTTCTCTTTTTTATTTTTATTTTTATTTTTATCTCTATCTCTCTCCCTCATCTCTCTTCTCTCTCAATCGTTCATTTCTCTCATTTACACTCATTTTTTTCTTTGAGCCCATTGTTGTTGAAAGAGAAAAAAGTCAAAAAATGAAATGGGTCTCTCTCTCTCTCTCTCTGCGTCTCTCGCTCATCTATCTTTTCTCTCTCTTTCACTCATCTCTCTCAAAAAATGAGTTTTACGTTGATTTTTAAACAGAAATCTAAAAATTTGACTAACAATTTTTTTAAATTATCTTTTTAAATATTTTTTTTCAAATAAAAATTTTTCAATTAATTTATTTTTAAAATATTTTTTTTCAATTTTTTTTTTTTCAATTAAAATGTGTATGATCTCATTGTCATAAATAATAAAAAAATAAATATAAATATTTTAGACCTGGATAAACATATTTTTTAGTTTATATTTTTAATTTTTTTAAAATATTTTGTTCAAACGCATTTGTAATTTATATATTTTTTTAAAAATAAATAAAAATTAATTTATAAATTTTTATAAACATAAATTAAAAATATAAATGTTATCAAACCGTACCCAGTTATGCTTGATGTGGCAGAAAAAAAAATGAAAAAAAACACACAAAATCTGATTCCCGCTCATTTTTCCCCCCTAACCAAAAATCCCCAAATCTCAAATCCCTAATTTTTGAACCAAAAATCCTCATCTCTCTCTCTCCCGCGACTGTGAGCACAGCAAACGATGGCGTCGAGCGATGGGGTTAAGGAGCCTCACTCTTTTGTTTCTCACTCCGTTGGCTTTCCCTCTGCTGCTCTCATTCCAGTGGCGAAGGAGCTGCTCAGGGACCACCGCAGCCATTAATAGCAGGCTCGAAGCTTTCAGCTTCAAGAACATCGGTCTGCTCAGATTCACATGATTGAAGAGACTCTCCGATTCGTCGGTGTTCCTGGTGCGGTCTAATTTCTTATATCTTTCTGTCTATCTGAATATATTTTGACGATTTCATCTGATTTCATTTCATTTAAATAAACAGGACATTCTTATATTTTGCAATTGTTTTGTTGAATCCACGATGGAATGCGAAGGTGATTACATCTGTGGCGAGAGGATTTTTCTGGGTAAATAGTATTGTTGTGCGAATACAGTTAGGAACACATAATCAAACACACAAAATATATCAATGGACGTGATTTTATAAGATTTTTTGTCTGGACCCGCCTCTGAAATTTTTTGTATTTTTAGTGTTCAATTCTGCGATTGGTTTTTTCTTAGACTTATTGTTGTTGTACACACGCATTACAAAGTTTTTATGGGTTGAGTGTGTAACTTGTGGCAATTTTGTTTGCTATCTGATTTTGAATCTTGTTGATCTAATGCAGACCTTTATAGCCATAAATTGTTATTGGACAGTTTAAAAAATCAATGAAAAATTTGGTAATGTCTCCTTCTCCAATGGATACATCTCAAAATGGACATATAAAACATCTTGATGGGGGATACTCACTATTCGAAATTGAAGATATTGATTTGTGGAAGTTATTGGACAAGCCGAGATCTATTAACATAGAGAGGAATCAATCCTTCGATGAGAGGTCCTTCAGTGAGATGTCGATCTCTTTATCACCGCCATGCCATTTATTCAGAAGTTTTGAAAATGCCGCCTCGCATGTGTTTGATCATATCGACAGTGTTTATTCTCCGGGTAGAAAATCTAGAATTGGTAGCCCTAGAATAAGTAGAGTTGAGACACATCCCATAGTCTTCGAGGCATGGGAGTCTTTGAGGCATTCATTGGTTTATTTTCGTGGGCAACAAGTTAGGACTATTGCTGCTGTAGACCATTCTGTAGAAAACCTCAACTATGACCAGGTGAAGCTAACTCCCATTTAATTTTCGTGCTCTTTTCGACAATTGATTTCTCTGCATTTTTCTCTAGTGTGTTCCAAGTTTAATGCTTGTTTTGATTACTAATTTCACTTTGTGGTGCTGCATATCACACTTTTCAACTGTTTCATGTCATTTGTTTTCTCTATGGGCCTTTCCTTTGAGGCTATTTCATGAAAAATCCGTATGAACATTTTGCTCTGGTTTTCGGATGGATCCAAGAGCATCACTTATCAAGATTAGTGATTGGAAAAAAAGAGAGAAAAAAATAGAACAATTTATTTTCACCAACCATAAGAAAGACCCAATCTATATTTTTACTATAAACTATCATTTGTATGTAATATGATAATTTTACTATATTTTTTATGTATTGGTACTGCAAAATATAGAATGTAATGATTTTACTCCAAATTTTATTTCATTTTTCCTCAAAAAAAGAAAAAAAAATAAGAAGTATCCTTTTCAAAACAAAAGGATCAAAATCATGTCCTGTACTTTTTATTTTCACCAACCATAAGAAAGACCCAATCTATATTTTTACTATAAAATATCATTTGTATGTAATATGATAATTTTACTATATTTTTTATGTATTGGTACTGCAAAATATAGAATGTAATGATTTTACTCCAAATTTTATTTCATTTTTCCTCAACAAAAGAAAAAAAAAAAAAGAAGTATCCTTTTCAAAACAAAAGGATCAAAATCATGTCCTATACTTGTACCCTCATTTTATATTGACATGGGCACTTCAACGAAATTGAAGAGTCCATATAACATAGCATTATTCAAAGTTTAGCTTCATCAATGGGTGAGTTTGAGATTAGTCCATTGATAGTGTGACCTACTATAAATGAAAGAGGAAGTTTCCCTTAATGTAACTAATAATTGATGTTGTCATTTGAATAGATGGTTTTTATTGATTAACCATATGCTATACCGGTTCTCCCCCCTCAATATGCACTAGGTTAACCCTAAAATCACAAAAATCTTCAATTGAGCTTAATAGAGGCCAGTGGGCTTCCTGTAGCAAAAATATCCGCCTTAAAATTTAAATCCTAGGGTGGTAAGAAAGTTGTCAAGGTTTTGAAGCTTCCTTGCTTAATCTGTGCACAACTATGTTCTAACACAGCAACGCAATTTCAATCAGTATAGAAAAGAAGTGAGACAACATTTCTTTCTTTCTGCCAATAATTCTCTATTTTTTGTTGACTAGTTGACACTTACAAATATTATCTTAATCCACCTATAATGGAGTGAGAAATATTTAAAGTTAACAATTGTACGACCATGTCTGAAAGGGCCAAAGATGCCACTTTGTCATAGTACTCCAACCTATTAAAATGTTTTAGGCAAGCCCTTATGAACGGCAACCACTTCAGCCTTCACAGAATCTCCAAAACCCACTGGTTTAAAGGAGACCACAGAAGCCACAACACGATTCATAAAAGTTCCACATGTCATAGGCATAAGTTCTCCATGGCTTTAAAAGAACAGAGCAGTAATCCTAACAGGCACATCAACAAAGTCTTTGTTGACAGCCAAGCAGTGTGAAGTGACACAAATTGTTTGGCAAATATTTTGCTAACTGAGCACTTTATAGTCTTAAATCTTAATGAAAACCTTTTTGTAATATCAACATCAAACTATGTAGCTTTTATTGTGATGTAAGAGTTGAAAATTTTGCTTACAGGCCACTTATCCTTATTCTTATTCCTATGTTGTAACTGAAAGGAAATTTCTCGTTGCTACTGCAGATTTGAAGGTGGTTGAATCTCCTATTTTTGTGATGAGAATAATTCCCACAGCTACAGCTGTATTTAATGTTTCGAAGTTGAACATGGAGCGAAACAATGTTCGTGCTCTGAATCAAGGTAGTTTGTAGCCACCAATTTTGGTACATTGCTATTTTTGAGCTCCATGGTGATGTAACTAACAGTATTTTCTGAATTTTTACAAGGGGGTGTTCTTCAAGCTACGCCTAAGTGCAATAATAGTACACTAGAGGACTTGTTTCTAGAGGATAATACAGAATTTGTCAGAAGAACTTTCCTTGGATGGAAAGAACTAGGAGAGGCTTTGATTTTGCTGAAAGTATGTATTCCCAATACCTTGGAAATTTTAAATTTTGGTGCAATAGGTCCTAGTGTTTAGATGGAAAATTAGTTTCTGTTGTTGATGGTGTAGATCTGGGCTCGGCAGAGAAGTTCAATATATGCCCATGATTGCTTAAGTGGATTCCTAATTTCTGTCATAATGGTATACCTTACAACAAAATCTGGGGGGAAATGCATTAATAATTCAATGAACATAATGCAAATATTTCGTGTCACAATGGACTTCATTGGTATGTGTAGTTTTTCCTTTTTCCCTTTACTGTTCAGAAGTTAGTTGCATATTTTTCATTGAATAAAACTGGAGAACCAAATGATTTATTTTCCCTGCAAATGCATATCTTGTAGGATTTGCAATGAAACTATTTTTTTGTCTCCTTTTTCAATTGACAGCTAGCCCTGTTGTGCACAAGAATTCATAACCATTTTGCAAATGGTATGATTAATTACATCTATACATATATAGACATATACCTATATGAGAATTAGGCAAAGAAATGCACAAATTATGTTTTTATTATTGTATTGATAATTCTAAGAATGTTCATAACATGAAAAAACAAATACTTGTATATAAATGATGTATTAATTTATCATATGTTATCCTTTTCTAAATTTATCATACTCATGTGAATTTTATTGTATAAATGAGGTGACAGATGAATCTAGTGGCATTCACCAGGCTTCTCCACAAACACATCAGAGATCCTCTTTTGGAAGTCATGAAATTCAACCTTTTAATCGGGGTAAGTATTTCACTTATATATATTTTTTATGGAATAGAAAAATCAATATTTTCCTCTTTTTAATGTCATTTTCATGTTTCAAGAAAGTCATCATTACAAATTTTAATATCAACATCAAACTCTAATATGAAATAAAAAAATAGACCCTTGGATGTTTTTGTTGGTTGGTTGATTAGTGGCTGCTACAAACCCAACCTTTGGCATTGTTTGCATGAAATGGCTGCCCTCATATTATAATATGCAGTCGAAGCATTTACCATTCCACAAAGCAATTTTCCATATATATGGTATCTACGTAGGCGTATACAGTGTAAAAACATACATGAATGAAATGGTAGGTCTATCCCAGAACTTCCGGAATTCATGTCAAAGTGAATATAGATTGAGCTGTGATCACTGTAGCACATATACAAAGAATGAGCATGAGATACATATATTACTCAGCAATGTTATGGTAGGGGTTGGCATAGAATGCTCAGTTAAAAGATAGAATGTGATAGATTTAATTGACAATTATAGGTCATCCTTCTTTTTACGAAATGGAACATACTTTCACTCTTGGCAGCATGTCTAGTTAAATTAATATGATTTGTTAATTGAGATTGGGAGATTGCTGGTGTTAGTGTTTCATACTAGGAAGCTTTTCGGGTAGTTCAAGAGCTATTTCTTGAGGACAAGAAGTAGAGCTGATTTACTCTGCTTTTATGGGTTGAACTATTGGCAGTTTTATGTGTTTGGGTTGTTCAGTTTTCTGTTAAAATTATTAGAGCAACTGATGACTGTAGTGCTCTGTTCGACCTTAGTCTCACCGCACAATCTCCAATCTTTTTCTTCATCACTGTATATATATATTGAAAGTGCCCAGTTTCATTTTTCCTTTTTAACTTCGAGATATTTGCTATACAGGTTGCATATGTTTGATTGTTTGCTTTCAAATGCTATATTTTTATTTTTTTTATTTCCTTTTGTTTTTGTTTTTGAACTAAATGTTGCAATTATTGAATATATAAAAATTTCATGGAGCTTCTTTGATCTGTCAATAGAGATGCTTCGACTCTGTAATTTCTTCATTTTTATAGAATCTTTATTGCTCATGAATGCTTAATCTGCACAAAATGTGATTCAAATGCATGAAAATTGTAACTTTCTTATAGATTAGCAGTTTAAGCTCTTCAGTTTTGGTGATTTTATTGTGTGTTGTTTAATGATTTTTATTTTTATATTTTTTCCCATTTTCTTGGGTGTAGAAGAAAGTTTGAAAATTTATAGCACTCCAATTGTTTGTTCTAAAGCCTAAAAAGAGACTCATTGATGACTTTGGTTTATCAAAATAACTTGTTTGAATTTTGAAACTATACCCTTATTTGGTCTGTGTTGTTCTCAGTTTTCGATTCGTCGATTTGATTGGCTAATGGTGATATTTGTTTGTAACAGGGGAATTTAGTGTTGTTCCAGGAAGAAAACCTGAACCTTGTACTGCTTTTTATTCTTCTTGCCAGTGCAGGTAACTCATGTTCATTGAATGATAAATTTTAGTGAAGGAATGTATTTTCAAAATTTTGGCATATTTATAAAGGGCTGCAGGTTAGGGTTGCCTAATTGTTAAGTGTTTTTGTATGGGACACGGGCATTCAACACACCACATATATCTGAAATGCACTCAAAGTATTTGCACAATCACCATTCAATTGCATTTCTTTTGTAGAACATTAAATATTTGAGATGGATAATGCCTCTTAAATTAAGTTGTTGGTTATAGTAAAATTTCTGTTGAACTTGCAATTTCTATAGATAAAGTGACATTTTGTTTTTACATGCTTCATGTCATGGTGGAGGTATTTAATGTTAAGACATTTGAAGGGGTGTGATTAGTCGGACTTTATCTTTTGTAAGACTAGAACAATCTCTACAAATAGTTAGTTTATTCATATGCTTCTAGTAGTGTCTGAATTAATTTGTGTTTTTATTTTTCAGATTAGAAATTTCTTGGAGAGATGCAAAATATGGTCAAAGAATTCAAATACTTAATTTTTCAAGTTTTTTTTATTTTTTAATATATGTAAGCATAGTTTAAAATTTTTTATTTAATTCCTTTGT